ACTTGGTGTTCGCATTAGGGAGGATCTCACTTCGGCTAACTGGTACGATTAAACACTTATGGTGCGAGATCGTTGGGGCGGTAAGGAGGATCGTGTTAGGAATATGCTAAAGGCCGCCAAGCACCTCCCGTGTGGATGATGCAGCGTTTTCTAGCATTGATCCGAAGTATCAGCGTGAAGTCTAAGCAGGTATGGCTCTTCGGAGACTTTAACATGCCTAACATAGATTGGACGTTACCGCGAGGGGAAACCTTGAGGGAAAGGGATTTTCTCGTTGCGATCCAGTATGCTCTCATCGTATAGTGCGCTCAAGAACCAACTCGAAAGTTAGTCTCATTGGATTTAGTTTTCGCGACGGACGACGATCTGGCGATCGATGTTACGGTTCAAGATAACTTGGGGGATTTGAATCACTGCGTGATCTGAGGGATATCAAACGGACGAAGAGTAATATCAAACCGATAAAAGTCTCCTGTAACTTCAGGAAAGCTAATTTCGATAGGCTACGTGGATGCATTTCGAGCATTGATTGGGCGGGAAGGTCGCTTGGTCTGACGGGAAAGGAGCAATAGCGAGTCTTCAAGATATCATTGCATGGCTTTATGGATGTTTGTATTCCCAAGAACTCTAATAGATCGCGATACTCTGACCCGACCTGACCCAATGAGACCGCGAGCGAGACACTGCGGCGGAGAAGCTATCATCTGAGCCCATCTGGGCATGATGCATTCCCGCTAGAGGACGACCAGGGTCAACAAGTTCTTAAAGGCTCTTCGCCAACTCGTTCAAAAATGTTTTGCCTTTCGTATTTTCTCTTGCATAGGACATTGCTATGATAAACCTAGCATACGACATATATTCGTAATGTTGTCTCCTTGCACGGAGCTGTCGTGATCGTGGCTAACATTCTTTGGCTGCGACGCGGTTAACCAATTCAGACACTAAGAAAAACGTATTTACATTATGGCTTTGATAGGAATAGTCTATCTTGGTCTACATTGGAATTGGAATTTATTTATCATTAAGACATTAGACTTATACGGGTTTAGGCTAAGGCTAATAGTGGGCCTGTATTGATGCTGAGGAAACAAGAGCTCGGTTAGGCCTAGTTTATGATAAGACTCAGCATCATAACTTAAAGACATAAGATTTCACTTTATGCACTCTTTCATGCAAAGGAACTAATGTTCTCCGCATGCACTTCATGAACAGAGATGAACTGGGCTTCAGCAGAAGAGAAGAGTCTGCTGCCGAAGTCAGCACCATATCAGATAAAGAAGCATGAGACTATCTCGAGCGGTACTGTGGAAGCCGGCATTCACCCTTCATGCAATGTTGTCCTGTTGGATACATTGTTCCTCGTGACATTTTACACTTATTACTGTCGCCTCCCTCCCAATGCAATCACTGATCTTGATGCGAGGTCGAACAGCTAGAGAATTGAGATCGCTCCTAAGAGACCTTGCGTACCAGTTACTGACTGGGACGAGGACGCTTGCTTTACTTTTTAACGGAGAGCTCTTATTGGCTGTAGGGCAGGATAGGTGCCCCACTGTGCTGCGGGTTTGTACATAATCGCCCCGCTTTTCTTGGGAAAGAAGACCCCTGAGCACTCGGCACTCCCGACTCTAGGTCTAGGACGTCAAAGAACTCCAGTGGTGAAGGCCAAGTCATGTATTCGCGGTGTAAACCACTTGGGACAAGTTGTGTTTCCCAAGTTTAGATGTCACTCGGATCTCGGATTCTAGGCACAGGAGGTGCCAATAATTCCATTGTTCGGCCTGGAGCCTCTTGTGCCTGGAAGCATCGTATCAAATGATATTTTTCTTACTAACAGGATGTTTATACGAACGGTCGAGAGACAAAATAGGACGTGATGTGCGTCAAGATGGACGATTAGACTTCGGAGTAAAAGATTTTATGTCCCCGGAAGGGGCTCTTTTTTTTTGTTGGTCTGGATGCGTCTTAGCATTGCATGAGGTGATGCCAACGATAATTCGGAACTAGTGGGCCTGCAATAATGAATCATGGATGAATTTCGCAGGAAGTCCTGCATTTTGAAGCAGGGCACCATGAAATTAATTTCCTTCTTGTCCCTCTCTGCATTTTTTGTGACTGGAAATGTACTTCTCACGCTCACGTAAGTCTCTCTCTTGGACTTCCTACACCCTCACCTATCAACGTGAACAGGAACAGGAATAATTAGTGCTGCAGGTGTCTCCCCGAACAATGAACTCTTCTCTCGCATTTATCGAATCCGCTTAAATTTATTATATTTTTGTATCAATCCGGATCTGATCATCTTTCCGCTCATGAAACTTAATTACCTCTTTTTGCTTATCCCAAGTCTACTGACGTTCTTGTGCATGTTAAGTGCGATTCTTAGAATTTACCCCCTGCCTTTGTACGTTTTCTCTTTTTAGTTTTGGGCCGGAGAGAGGGACCTGGCCACGCCTCTGGTTTCCATTTGAACAAGACCTGATGGTCACTCATTGACGACTGCGACAGAAAAAGCGATCACGTAAAGCGTCAACGGCCAAACAGAAATATCGCTTTCGAGAATTTTCAAGCAACTCTACTACCCACGTGTGACAGACAGTGAATCTACTCTTAGCACCATCGACACGCAGGCATGCTAATGTATTGAGGGAATTTGCGATGGTGAAGCGGACGAAGATAAAGGATGGGGAGGCCTTCCGATTGCATAGATGTCTCGAATAGAAGCAGCAGGACGAAGCGGAATTTTCCTCAGAGATTTCATCGACATTTTCAAGATACAGAAAGGGACACAAGGACACAAATGACAGACGAATAACTTTTCTTCATATTTCTCTTGAAAAACTCAAGGAATGCATAGAAAGAGAAGAGGAAAGGTGTTCATGCCAGATGACTGTCGATACGACTCTAACTTTGCACATGACCTTCGCTATGCGATTGAACATGCGATTGATCGGCTTCATCGGCATGCTTTCGATGTCCTTACCAGGGATGGCACTGTTCATTTGAGTGCTCTTGCCCTCTAAGGAACGAAGCACGATCTCGAATGAGGTCATGCTTCGTTGTGAGGCCATTTGCCCTTCAAGGATTCCCACACGACTCATTTGGGTGGAAATCAGGGAAATTTCCAGACCATGGAAAAATGTAAACCTTTTCCTTCGGAATTCCATCACACTTGTGGCTTTCTGCAAGGAGCTCCCTCTATCCTTCATAGAAATATAAAATGGGACTCCTTCAGTTCCAATATCGGCCATGTTTGAAGAACTTAATTGTACTTCACCTGATTCACTGTCACGTTTACGTGAGGAGTAAAAGAAGGTAGAACATTTTTCATGGTCTGGATATTTTGCCGTTTCATATGCCGGTACTGATATGATCATTAGCAGAGCATAAACACTCTTCCTCTTCTCTTTCCAAGTATTACTTCTTTTTTTAAGGGAAAAATATAGAAAAATAGAACCAGTTCCATCTCTGAGGTCTTCTGTGTCCTTGTGTCTTCAAAATGCCGAGAAAATGTCTTACTTACTGTTAATTAATGCCCAGCCATTGAATTTAAGCATCCAAGTCTTGGCAGTAGTCATCAAAGGTGATTTTTAGTCTTTTTTGCAAAAAGTACCTCCTACACAAAAGAACAAAAAACAGAAGAATTTATTTTTAAATTTATTACAGCACAGTTTGAGAAAGATCTCAGTCCTTTAATCTCGCGGATCAATACACTGAGATACAATAATTGTATGGATTTCGATAACGAAAAACTTTTTATTAGGTACGAGGTATATTGGACCAAGTTGGACCGACGATATATTTGACCAGGTTGCAAGTGCCAAATTGTTGTCTGAGAAAAATGAGTATTTAACCTAAATTATCATTTGGGTGAATAAACCTGTAACAAAAAAAGAAGCATCGGGAGGAATTCAAGCAATTTATCTCGACAAGATATCGCTATGGTTCCTGCGGGCATGCGGATGCGAGGATTCTCAAAAGCCAGGTGGAATGCCTGGGGGTTCAAATTCTTCTTCGATATGTAACTAGTATTGTGTTTAGAGATGAGTTGTGCACAGGAAGCAGCCTTTACCTTGACCCTAAGCCTCTTGCCTTCCAAAGTCCCCACTGCATGCAGTTATACTTGATTGCACGAGATTCAGAACAACGACTCGATTAAAACTGACGTCTCGTTTGTCCCGCAAGATCATCTATGCCGATCTCTCCACATTTTGGGCACAGGATTCGAGCGAAAGCCATTCGAATAGATCGGGGGGAAGATGGAGCCATACGGAGACGACGTATTGTGGATCGTGATCGTGGGCTTCATCATTGCATTCGTGGCTGCGTTTGCAATTGGAGCCAACGATGTGGCCAATTCCTTCGGGACCTCCGTCGGATCCAAGGTCCTTACCATCAAAATGGCCTGCATTCTCGGTACCATCTGCGAAACCTCCGGATCCATCCTCCTCGGTGATTTCAACCTCCCATACGTCTTATAGGGTTACATCGGTAGAATTTCAATTATTTTCAACTTTGCATCTCTGTGTAGCCTAAACGGTTGGGATGCTCCTGGTGGTATTTCACTTTTTTTTTATTATACATTAGATAACTCGATAACCTGTAACAATGCGAAAAACTTGAATTTCAACCTCCACTCACCATAGGAGACCCCCTTTTCTTACCGTCTATTTTATTCATGTTATCCCCGTGATAGGGTAATTTGGTAAATTGTTTCTTTTGCATTCTCCACAAGAATTTCTTTGGTCGAGGCAATTTGGTTATGTTGACTTCTTCCCTAGGCTCGTTCATTTCATAGTAAGTTTGAACTGATGCAGCTGCAGTTGCTACAGTTGCTCAATCAACTTGTCCGGAACGGTCATGGGTTCTCACACTCTTTTCTCGTTCTTACATCCCAGAGCTGGATAGCATAATCAGATTCTATCTGGACTCGAGTCTTTATTTACATTACATTATAATACGCAGTTAACCGAATTACCTAACTATGAAGGAGAGGTCATATGAAGGTGAGAGTGGTTTCATATTAACTGTCACAGTCTGTATGCTTGCGCAAAAAATGTTAATTGATGAATTAATTTAAAAGTTATTTCTTTTTTTTTCCTCGATGCTGCTTCTTTAGTGCTCTCTCTTGGACGTCAACGACGCCCTCTACATCTGATTGCTAATTGTATTTTCTCTTACTGATAATTACAAAATAACCTGAGTTCTTCATGTCTGTTGAAATTTTTTTACCTACGAAGCGGATCCCGCGGGACGCGGGTGTGGTTTAGTACAGTAATAAAATATTGAGGAAGAATTTAACAACTGAAATATGCGAAGGTTTATATTATATGAAATACTGGTGAAATGTACTAAACCCACAAAAAAGGAGAGAAACCCATGCCCAAAAGCTTTCGAGGTTGAGCCCTATTCTGTAGACTCCTGAGAGGCTAATGTGGCTTGCTTGCCCGAAATGCGTCACGTCAGATCATAAAGAATGAAAGTTAACTACTGTAAGAGAAGATGTCAATAATGTACGCTGTCATTGTCAGGGTTGGTCCTTGGATCGTGTTGCTATAAAAACTTGAAGAAGGAGCCCACATTCCAAAGAAAATGGTGGAGGGAGCATTTTTGGGCACACCTAAAAAATGCAAATAAATCCCGATTCAAATATAGACATGAAGCAGTCAAACGCGGGAAGGAAATTCGAATACATGGACATCGAATTGCTTTAGTGGTGACAGGAAAGAGCGTGTCTGATATCCGAGCATTTCTCACTTGATTTTCCTGATGACCTGATGTGATGATGAGTCCTTTCACTGCCATCCATGACAATCTTGCGTTTGAATTCCACGTCGCATTTGACTCTTTTACTCGCACCACTTACGAAAAAGAGTTTTCATTCTGCATGATATAAAATCGAACGCTACAAGTAAGATAACTGCAAAAGTGAGGTCGCATGCAAATGCATTTGCGAAATCGCATACGAAACGGGTTAACTCCACTGTGCATGTCATACCGTCTCCGAAAAACATCAGATATGCCACGGCTAACTCGGGAAGAAAGGGATTAGATTGCCGGGCGATTAGATTGCTCCAAGAGGATGTAACTTAACAGGAAGTCGCGCAGCGATTCGAATGTGCTCGGGTGGCCTATATCGGGTTTAATTAGCGCTTTATCCAAACTGGCCGAACGGTCGACCTTGAGGGATGTAGCGATTCTTAAGTTTGGATACACCCTTTTGAAGCAATCTAATCGCCCAATCCCTTTCTTCGTTGCGTTGCGTTTCCTGCGTTCATATCTCTGATGTTTTTTAGAGACAGTATGACTTGCACAGTGGAATGAACCCATTTTTACCTATTGAAGTCTGGAATTTACACATGGCATGGAGAAAACCTAAATAGGCATATTCTTGACGTGGCATATGCACAGCGCTCAAAGGTTAGCGAGTACAGGTACACTCTAGTAATGCTCAAGCAGAGTTGACTTGTTCAGAAAAGGGCGGATATAATGCCATCACAACAACTACATGGGCGAGTTTTACGTTACCTTGTAACGTTTCATTTGGAAGCTGGTATGTTTTTGTTTAAATACTAGTACGTATGAATGACCTAGATATGCGATAAACCTTCCCCCAATAATAGGTTTCCGCACTATTATTAGCCTAGGCAGTACAGTAGATGCTTCAAGTAGGTTAGATTTAGTGCTTTAGGTCTACCTGTATGTTGCATTACACAAATAATCGTTTCTAATGACTGGCATATCTTTCTGACTTGTAATATTCACGAATTGTTAAATAGTCGTGGCATCTCATTTCATGTGCGTTCATCCTATATACGCAGTTTTTTCCTGATTCCTCTTATTTTTATTTATTGACTTTTTTACTAAACCTATACAAAAATTACCCCAGGTACTCAAAATTACTTGGATTACCCCGTGTGTCCCTATGCGCGAGAAAATGCCGTCGTGCAACTCTGTGTCATGAACTTGAGTTTTTTTTTTCAGGTTCCAAGGTGGCAGAGACGATGAGGTCGGAGATCATCGACATGTCCGTGTACAACGGGACCGAGAAGCAGGTCATGCTCGGTGCCCTGGCCACTTTAGGCAAGCCGTTTCTGTCTTTTTCATCTGGAGGCGTTCCGTGTTCGCTTCCGAAGTGACAATGGTGCCGGGAAACGTTCGATGGGCAGGGGGATCGGGACTCTGGCAGTTGGCATCCACGTATTTCGGGCTGCCGATCTCCACCACCCACGGGGTGGTGGGGGCCATCGTCGGATTCACACTCGTCGCCAAAGGTTCTCTGGGTGTCCGATGGATCGGCATCGCTCGAATCGGTCTGTTTCATTCCATCTCTTTACATTCTGACTCGACACATTCTCCTTCCAATGGGAAGGGAAACAAAGACGTATAAAAACCCGCGCGATTCATTCATGTTATTCATCGAGGCCGAGAACAGAAGGAAGACAGGAAGGAAGTTGCTTCCTACTTGCTCATTGTTGCAATCCGGAAACCAAAACTCTCGTTTCAATGCAGACGTTCCTCCGGTCTATAAAAGCTCAATGAAGAAGTAGAATGATGCGTATTTCGAAGTAGGACTCTTTTAAAAACCCACGTTAACATGAAGTGCGTGTTAGTTCCATTCTTCTTCGGACTCTTCTGTTTCTTGTCCATACCTTCTCTGGCCAAGGGTGAGTGGTTTTTTTCTCTTTATTACTCGCTGTCAGATAGTCTGTCGGCATTGTTCTACTTCGACATGCCTATCGAGTAAGCTGGAAAATAGACGAAGTAAGATAGCTTGATTATAAAATACACGCGGCAACTGGATCTTCAAAACGTCCCAGACCCACCCATAAGTTTGTTCTGATCCGTTTTTTTAGGGAAACCCTTTGCGGAGCAGACAAGATGGTTCGGTCACAACAACATGATGAGAATGAGTCTCCCGAATCCAAACCAACTACTGCAGCGGATGGGGGAAAACTTTGGAGCCATGGCAACCTCGTTCCAGAAGGGAATCTCCGGACTCTTTGGGAACGGAAACAACAATCAGGTCTCCGCCAGGATCGAAGAGGAGAAGGACGTAAGGTATAGTAGCCGTGACGACGGAAGACGACAGAGAAACGACCGAAGTAGAGAAGATCGAAATGAATGGCAGCAACAAGGCCAGATGACTCAGGCACAGAGTACGGAAAACCAAGCCCAGAAAACGAGAGAACAAAGTAATAGATACGATCCGAACAGGAGCAATTCTGACACCAACGCGCATGCGAATCGAGAGAAGAATGAAGGTGCGGAGCCTAGGGACGGCATGGGGACTCCGAGATTGAGCTTGGAAGAGCTGCAGAGGTGGTTTCAGGCGAACACGAGGAATTGGGGACAGATGTGGAATCAACAAAGGAACCGATGGAATCAGCAAGACTGGTGGTACGACGGTAGCGAGACGGAAAATCGAAACGAAAGGAATACAGCCAGAGGGCAGGGACGAAGGCAGAATGGGAGGAAGGGCAACAGAGACAACTATGACTGGTACGAGTACGACTACGGTGAGGCTACCGGTTCCAGGAACGAACGGAGGAACGGGGATTCCTGGTTCTATGGCACCGACTCGGAAGGAAGAACGACTAGGGGTATGGGATCCAGATCGGCTCAGATCACGGATTCCAATTTGGCCAAGACCATCTTGGAGCTGCTGCAAGGAATGGCCAAAGCCATCGGACAGCAGTTCCCAAAATGGATTTCCTAAACAGCAACAATGGCCGCCGTGCATGCACATCCGATTTCTGGATAAATCAAATTGCGAAATTAGATGCGAGTTTTATTTCATGCATAGTAATAATTTCAGTCGACAGCAAATGAAATCAGCATGCATTGAAGCACAAATGCGTTTAGCGATGGAAAGTACGAGGGTGGATAAAAAAAAGTAACAGTCGATCTTTTTTTTCACGCTACTTTCTATCCTCAACAAAATGCTTTTGAGGGTAGGAGCTCCCATTTGTCATTGATGCTTGCATTAATTTTATGATTTGCCTCGAGAGGATAGGCGCACGAGAGATTAGAAAATGGTGGTACCATCGGAGATATGCAACAATATTGGACAGCGATCTGTGATTCGTTTTCTGTGGTCGAGGGTTTCAATGCTGCCGAAATTCACATAAGAGTGAAGACCCAGTAAGGGGGCATGTGTACGAACGAACGGAAAGTGCACGAGTGGGTACAGACGTTCCGTAACGGTAGAACGAGTGTGAAAGACAGTGAGAGACAGGGCAGACACAGCGCTTCGACGACCCCTGACAACATAGCTGCTATAGAGGCTGCAATCTTGGACAATCGACGTATATCAATTGCATCGATAACGACCAGGAGGCGCCTTCATTCGTCTGTAAATTTTGACAGCATTGAAACCCTCGGACCATAGAAAACGAATCATATTTCGCCGTTCAATTTTTGCGCATGTCTCCAGTGGTACCGCCATTTTCTAATCTCTCGCGTTCCTATCCTCTCGTGGCAAATGACATTAAGTTAATGCATGTTAGCATGAATGACAAACTGAAGCACCTACCCTCTAAAGTATTTTGTCGAGGATAGAAAGAAACGTAAGGAAAAAATTATCGGCCGTTATTTTTTTTATCCACCCTCGTACATTTTAAGGTAATTTTGACATAATTGCTACAACTAGACTTACAAACGAAAGCAAGTCTAGATTCCATTGGACACTGGGCCAAGTGAGTTTAGATCCTTAAGTTTATCGTGTGACACGTGAAATTATAATTTCCGCAATGGCCCATTAGTTCACTTGTTTTATTTTTTTTTAAATGAGAATTGTAAATTATTTGTCAAGGTAATATAATTATATGGAATCGAGGATGAAATGGACCTCAGCGATATTGGTGCATGCACTGTGCAGCCGTGTCGTGGGTGTTGAGCCCGTTTCTGTCGGGGATCATGTCGTGCCTCATGTTCCTGGGAGTAAGGACTTACATCCTGAATGACTCCCATCCGGTGCAAAGGGGTCTCCTCCTCCTTCCCTTCATTTATGCCATTACGGTGGCCATCAATCTCATCTCCATCCTCATCGACGGCCCCTCTCGTATGTACCTCGTCTTCCGTAAGACTAGTCTAACTTGACCGAATGAGTGGCCAAAGCGAGAATTTTTCCTCCTCTGCCTGCAGTCCTGTACTTGGACAGGGTACCTTGGTCGGGAATCATCTTAGCCTGTCTTGTAGTATCCCTCGTAGTCGGAGTCTGCGTTCGTCAGTTTCTCATCCCATCCATCTCCCGCTCACTCCAAGGTATGCATAACATGCAGATGTGTTTCAGTTCGTGGCGCAATGGAGAAGGGTGAATGTAAGGAGTGACCTCTTTACTTCCAGCATCTTTGATTTCTCCCTCAAGTGCCTCGTCAATGAATTTATGGCGAAATATGCATAAAATAGTGAGAACTGTTTTCAGCCATTGTGCTTAATTGGGCACCCGGTGAACGAAGGGTTTAAATAAAATTAAGACACGGCGAGAAATTCCATGAAAGACATTCGAGCATTATGAGCCTGATATCAAACATTCGACACCATGATTGGTCTTGCCCTTTCTTCCTCGAGGTTTTAGAGAATTGCGTTAGGAAGAAAAATAAATTTCCCTCTTGAAATCAATCTCATGGATCTCAGAAACGAAATAATCCAGAAATACAGGGTGTCCATAAAAGAATGCAACAGTTTAAAAAATTAATAACTCAGTCAATAATGGATGAAATGCCGTAATTTTTGCATCAGAATAAAGAGGAAGACTAGGAGTTCATTTACAAACCTTAATAAGTCTCGATGTGAGCGCCATTCACAGCTAGACAGTTTTTTGCGTAGACAATGTTTTTCACATATCCCCACGCGAAAAAATCCAGCGGAGTTAAATCTGGACTTCTTGGAGGCCAAGCGATTGGTCCACCTCGTCCAATCCATCGATTTGGAAATCTCTTGATGTCATCGACTTGGGGGAAGACAAATTGTTGTAGCAAATCAAGGTAATTGTCCCCGGCGATCGTGTTTTCCGCTGAAAATTATGCTGTACCGTAATGAATGACTTCGTCTCCGCATACCAAAGCACGCATTAAGCCTTCTGCTGAACGGTGGCCATTGTACTGATGGGGGTGAGGCGCGCGCCAAAATAGACACCAATTAGGAAATTCCCTTGCGCGCGCATTTCGAGCTGCCAGCGACATCTATAACGGGATATAAATAAACTCCCAGTCTTCCCCTTCGTTTCGATGCAAAGATCACTGCGTTTCATCCGTTACTTATCGAGTTATTAAATTTTGAAACTGTTGCTTTCTTTTATGGACACCCTGTATGACATTTGCAAGGCATGATGCTCAACTGCACCATGTAAATTAGTCAAAGTAGGAAGAGATGCAGTAGATTTGAGGTCTGAAGGGGGAGGGGAAGGCTCGGACGGGATCTGGCCTAAGTATGCACCCTGCCTCGTCAAGGCACCTGCAACTCCCCCCTTTTTTTCTTTTTTTCTTACTGCTTCTTTACGTCAACAGAAACAAAGACTAAAGGGGAAGAGGAGGAGAAGGAGAAGGAGGATGTGGAGAGTCTCTCAAGGATGAAACTGACGGAAGTGAATGAGAGTCGGAGTGCTGAGTCCATCCTTTCAAATGAACACCTCTCTGATCCCTTGCCTCAGGTATGAGACCTCATCGGGACTTTTACTTTTATTGTGGCACCATTGCTTTCGACTACACATCTCAGGCATCTCAAGGGGATGACGTCACATGATACAAGAATTAGATTTCAACGCGGATGGTCGCAAGAAGTCTTTATGACTGACCAAGTTGATCGACATGATTGAAATGCTGTCAGCGCATCACGGACGTGGCTACCATTATGAAATGCTTGCCCTGCATCGGCAATCATCTCGAGTTTTGATCGCTGAATCCTGAATTTTTGCTGACCGTGATCGTTCCGAACACTTTCGGCGTCACATGATCTTGATTACCCTAAAGTGATGGCGAACGCCATTCGAGTTCTGGCCATCCTTGATGCGACAAATTTTCCACCCTTTTGGAAAAGGAAGGGGACCGCTCGGAAGGAGACTTGCAAGAGATCTCGATGCCGTTGAATGATGAGGCGAAGAGGATCCAAAATGAGGAGTCCAGGAAGGGAGAAGAGACAGCGGAAAGAAGGAAAACAAAGGAAGACGGGAAGAAAGACTTGCAGGAATCGCCAGAAGAGAAGCTCTTCTCTTTCGTCCAGGTTTTGACAGCCATGTGCGCGTCCTTCGTCCACGGCGGCAACGACGTCAGGTCTTTCTCATACTTCTCCCTCCTTGCATTATAAGTTTTCTTGTTGGTGAGCCTCCTTTTTCTTAGAAAAAAAAAAGAGGTTCCTATTACAATCGCCAGGATGTTTGTGTGCGTGTGTCATAGCTAGGCTTCGCAAACATTTACGGGAATATTATGGCTTGAAATTTTCACTATATTTATTATAACTCAAAAATGTGGGGGATTTTGACATGGACTTAGTTTTTGAAAAATTTAATACCTTTTTTTCTCTGTTTTTAAACAAAAAATTTCATTACAAAGCAAGAGCGAAATTTGCCGACTCAGAATCAATTAGAAGTCCCTTCTGAATGACGGACAAGGACTAACTCCAAGCATCCTCTTCTATTCTCCTCTTCCTCCTCTTTTTTCTTATTTCCAGTTAACTTTACCTTCTTTGTCAAAGACAGTGCGATCAAAGGAGGCTCGCTATTAGGGTGGACTTGGAGTTACCAATAAATTCACCATTATTAATTTCCTCATAAGCATGCATGATTCTAATTTACGTATGAAAAAAAAGTTGTTCGCTATGCAGTAATGCGATCGGTCCGATCGTGGGGATGTGGTTCATCTATCAGACCGGGATGTTGACATCTGTGGCGGATCCGCCCCTATGGATCTTGTTATTCGGAGGAATTGGGATCTCTTGCGGACTCACCATTTGGGGACGGAGGGTCATGAGGACCATCGGCAAGAAACTCACTCTGATCACTCCATCCAGGTCATTTCACACTTCCTGTCTTCTCCCCTTGTTCTTGTTTGTCAGGCAGGAGCGAAACCCTAAGTGGAGGACGCGTCCATACTAACACTGAGCTATCAGTTACAGCTCTACCATGCTCCTTGATTGAATTGTCGTTTGGCTCGTCCTACACTTTATTACTACACTTTGATCTTAGCCGATAGGCCGAGAAGCGATCTTCTCGTTCAGTACGTAAACGAACCGACTCGCGAGGAAGCTTTATTGGATTTAGTTTTGCGACGCACGACGATCTGGCGCTAGACGTTAAGGTACAGGATAACTTGGGAGATTCGGACCACTGCGCGATCATGTGGAATATCAAGCGGACGAAGAGTAACGCCAAACCAAAAAAGTGCCCTGATGGGTTTTAACGAAAAATTTTTTTCTTCTGAAATGTAGACTCAGAGAACTCCATGCCACCCGTTTCAGCCCTATACGTTTCCCCTTTTTGCTGGCAGAACATTGGAAAAGCGACCCACCCAAAAGCTGTGCCCTGAGGACACAAAAAAGTTGATTTTTCCTTAAATTAACATCACGTGCATTATGCGTGAGCCAGCTTCTACTTTTCTATTTCTGCCTGATTTGCTAGGATATGAAAAATTCTTTGAAAACGTAACGTCTCTAAGAAATATGCCCCCCGAAAATTTTTTTGGAAATTTGATATTTTTCCTGAGCTGTGTGTCAGCAGTCACGTTCTTGCCAAGTTTTCAGCTTTCCATGTGTCTCCGTTTGTTTGAAGCAAAGAGAACTATTTGAAAATACGTTCCCCGAAAAGGTGTATCTCTATGGCATGTATCACCAAAGTAGGATTTTTCCTGAACTCAGCATGCGAATAGCTACTTATGTCAGTCAGTCAGTTACTCACAATCGTCTATATATAATAAAAGCAAAATTTTTATTTACTCAGCTATCCATTAGGTACTTTTTTTGTTACCAGGTTTAAAATTTCTAGTGCCCTTTGTTTCGCTGGATGAGAAAATTCGGGAAAATACGCCTTTTGCAAAATATGTACCCTGAGGTGTTTTAACCGAAAAGTACCATTTTTTTTTTACTGAAATCTATACTCAGGGAACTCCATGTCCACGAAGTTTCAACCTAATACGTTTGCCCTTTTCGCTGGTGAAAAAACATGTTTGGAAAAGCCGATCCACCCAAAAGCTATGCCCGGAGGGGATGCACCATGAAAGCTGAATACTTCCTCAACTCAATAATATCATGTCACTTATACGTGTGCCAAGTTTCACCTTTCCATTTCTGCCCAATTTGTCACGGGAAAATATATATATTTTTTAAAAAACATCGCCCCTAGAAGAAATTCCCCCAGGGGATGTATCGAGACTTAGCATTTTTCTTTAACTCCTTGTCTCAGTAGTCACATTCATGCCAAGTTTCAGCTTTCCATGTTCTTCAGTTTAACTGATGCAAAAAATTATTTGAAAAATCTCCCTTTGAAATTTGTGCCCCCAGGGCACGCATTTTTCTGCACGCAGCATCCCAATAGGTAGTTATGTACCAAGTTTCACTTTTCCACACTAGCTCAATACGCCAGGACAAAAAAATTACTTGAAAACGTCGTCCCCCAAAAACATGCCCTCAGGGCATGGATCTAAAATGTGAAATTTTTCCTGAACTCATCGTCTCGGTAGGCACGTCCATGCCAAGTTTCAGCTTTCCATGTCTCTCCGTTTTACTCGAGCAAAAATATATAATTAACACTTCTCCCCCCAAAATGTGTACCACCAGGGGATGTACCTCCAAAATCAGATTTTTCTGAGCTCTGCATCCCAATAGGTACTTGAGTACCAAGATTCAGATTTCTAACTTTTCTAGAACATGGTTAGAATTAGCGTAAGTCAGTCGGTCAGTCACGATCGTCTATATATATTAGATGATGCGGCTCAGAAGAGTCCTTCCCACTGTCTCAGGATTCCGTATTGGATGGGGAAAAGGAGAGCAACGGTTAATCTTGCTACCCATGGAAACTCTTCTCAATAGACTAGATCTCCAAGTTAAAAAAGGTGAATCAGATATGCATGGGGGCATTAGGTCCCTCCCAGCTGGTGGTATACCACAAACGAGCTAACTGGTAATGTGCTGGCCCTGAAGGTGGCGGGCCATTGCTGGCAAGTGGGACATGTACCCAACGCCGTACCGAGGATACTTCGCGCCCTGTGCAAAATATCAGTCCAGCGCCCCCCCCCCGGGCGAGATATCAACCCCCCCCCATCTGTACCTCTCCAGCTTCCACAGCACCAACAATACATTACGTATTAATTTCTGTTAATTTAATTCAGAATAATTTGCAATTTTCTTAAAGCTTTATTTATATTTTGTAATATTCCGGCAGCCAATCGGCGCCCCCCTCAGTTCGGGGCCCAGTGCGGGGGCACTGCTCGCACACCCCTTGTTACGGCACTGCATGTACCTGGTGGCCCACAACTTAGTAAAGGTGGTGGGCCACCAGCTCTCTTCCCTAAATGTAGGTAGTGGGCCCAGTAGCGTAGCCAGATGGGCGGCTAAGCGGAGCGTTGGGGGAGCCTCCTCGTCGGGGTGGGAGGGTGGCGGATGCATTCCGACCAGAGTTGGGGGGGGGGGACTTATACTAAACTTGCAGGGGCTGAAGACCCCCCTTCTCTACGCCACTGAGTGGGCCATCACCTACGTGCTGCTATACCCAATGAACACAACTCTTAAATCTCAGCTGTGTCACTCCTGAGATTAAAGCGTCCAGGCGAGAAAATAGCGATATGTACTCCTACATGTATGTAATCCTACTGTCCCGCAGCTGAGATACAACAGCATCTCATCAGCTGACATAAAACTGGTTATTTCCAGCAAGGATTCAGCTGGGAAGGAGTCGAGCCAAGTCAGCTGAAGAAGCTCAGTAATGTCCCAAGTGTTTTCCTGTTGTGATCAGCAGTAATAAAGGCAATTATTGCGTTTTGAAGTGCAGCTGTTTTTCAACAGCTTGCATACAACTGGGGTGTCTCTGTTGTGAGACAACTGCATGCACAACTGGGGAAGACCAAGTTGGTCTGCGTGGGTACGTCATAGGGCGAATTCTACTAGATGCTACTAGATGTCGGTATGGGTCTCGCTTTTCGCCAAGTACACAAGTACCTACGCCAAGTACTTCCCTCTTTCCATGGAATCATCCCTCACAGGAGTGTGTAGTACCTCACTATATGTCATTTCTAGTTTCTTTATAGCAATCAATAAAATCGGACATTTAATCATTTATTATCCCCATATTCGCGACAGAATCATGGATCCCAGGCTATAAACAAGCTCATATCCCCAATGAGAACCCCTTGCATTCATCATGGCACATAACCAATACAGAGTTTTATTTAACTCAGTCACGAATGATGGCTTTAACCTTAGTGTCTTTATTCCTGAAGGGAGAAATAAAGGGATTTCCCAGGGGTTAGTACTTGGAATGCCGCTTCCACGACCGCCGACACGCATTATCCTTCCACGAACGCCACACTGTGAAACCTGTCTCAGAAGTCTTCTCCGGAATGCCGATTTCTCTCTTCCTTCTCTCTTCCGCCACTGCCGAATTTTTTTGTTGTCCTTATTCGAACCCTTGATTTCATGACCAATGTGTTTCGTTTCGACTACTATACCACTACTCCACCGTCCCCACACGAGTTCAGGAAGGTACATTTTACCACTCTAAGCTTTGATTTTTTTAGTCTCGGCATTCTTGGTCAAACCTTCCCGGAATGCCGACCAATGGCCAATTTCAATTACATCTTGATGACTAAAGTTTTAAAGTTTTTAGTACTTTAAAGTTTAAAGTTAAAGTAAAGGAAGCATTTACTTACTTTCTTAGCCGACACATNCCCCCCGCAGCTGCAGTGTTGCCTTGCTCTTTGGATTCCTCGGGAAAGATGCTTGTCTTGCCCCGTAAGCCCCAGACTTCACCGATAAGAAAGATGGAACCAGGTCAAATGAAATACCATCGGCCACAGCTGCAACAAGTTCTTATTGGTATATGCAGGAACAGGAGCCAGCTCTGACGCTGATCTTTCCCTGATTTTGCGGCTGAAGCACTTTCGGCGCATTTCAGCCACTCTAGGCTCATGGTTGTGCATTCCTCTTTCAAGTCGGCATTCAGTCGGCATTCGCGGACAAGGCTCAATCGGCATTCGCGGACAAGTGTAAAATCGGCATACACGGAAGACAGAAAACTCGGCATTCCAGGAGCTTCTCATTTCCCAGGTAGCACACTCTACCGGGAGGCAGTTGGGAAAGAGTAGAGAATTAGTGGAGTCTCAACTGGGAATGTCAAATATCTTGCAGCTGAGTAGCAGCAGAGAAAATAGAAGTACTGCTGTAGCTAAGCTGTTCTGGAAGCATATGCTCTGTTGCAGTGCTGGTTGGTTGAGTTCTCTTTGTGCAGTCATGCATATTGTTACCTCTCGCAGTGGCGTAGCCAGGTTTTCGTCAATGGTGGGGGCTAATAGTGGGGCTAAGCGGATCGTTGGGTGGGCTAACTTCTCCTCGTCGGGGTGGGGCGGGTGCATTCCGAACAGAGTTGGGGTGGCTGAAGCCCCCCCCCCCCCGCTACGCCACTGACCTCTCAACGGACTCCATGACCTTCGATGAGAGGAAGAAATCCAAATTCATCACAGTAGCCCATGCTACACGTGTCTCAGGGATTCAACATGGCGGGAGCGAGTTCGCCGTTGGGCTCGCAATTCAGTTTACGTCAATTTTAAATCTGGACATGTCATGAATTCACGATTGTGGGACTCTTCAGTGACGTGTAGTGTTATCCCACATCCCCGTTCGATGGAATTTATGTCGATCGGGCTCGTCCGTGGATTTGTCAGTTGTTCCGATGGGGTCTGGACCTGGTGAACCTACCCGATAAAGTCAGACCCACCTGGTATTACAGTACCTCCTTGTCGATGAAATGCTAAGCATTTCATCTATATGGCAGAACATATCAACGGGTATGAAATATATTCTTCGGTTTCTTTATCTTAATCGTATTCCAATTAGGTGCAAGGAGATATTGTTTGTTTTGTCATCACCCCCCTACTCTTTCCAGGATCC